TCCTTGCCAACATAGCTGACCACCGCACCTACATCCGCCGTGGCTCCACCTACTTCCTTCAGTTACAGAGCACACTCTGCCGCCTGGCAGCCAAGGCCTTCCTGCTTACCTTCACCCACCACCTCCACCTGCCGGTCAGCTCCACGGAGGGGCCAGAGGTTGTAAAGGGCCGACGCCGCTGCTTCCTGCAGGAGCAGCTGGGGCTGGGTGAGGAGGACAGCCTGATACTGCTCTACCTCAGCCAGCGCATTACTCAGCAGTACCTACAGCCCGCCATCGGGAGCAGTGCAGCAGCAACTTGTTTCAGTTTTAACTACACCACCAGCGTTTTATACAAAATCTAATGTTATACTGGGAGGACACACATTTTAGCAGACATCATCTTTGACCCTTTGGTTATTAATGAACCAAAGGGGATCTTAATAAGGTCTATGGTCGCTTTAGTTTCAGGACAACCTCTCAACTGGTTATTGTTTCATCTGTGAAATCTCTCTCTGCCTTGCTGTCGTTCTCTCTGCTCTCGCTCTTTCCTTTGTGTGCAGAAATAAGGAGACAGAGTGAGTCATGAGTGTCAGTGAGTGGTTTACTTGTGTGTGTGTTTGGTCCATAGCATGTTGACACTCACAAACACACATAACAGAGCAGACGAAGGTCAGCCCCCTCACCCCCACCCCCCTTCCCCATCACACACACACACACCCACATATATTTTCATCTTAAAAAACTCTATTCCACCATGGCTGTCTGTGTCGTAAGTGCTGGTCTGACCTCAACCAGCTTTCTAACTGGTTAAATCACAGCTCTTGTGAACACCCACCAATCACTGAGCAGCTATGATATCATCTCAGCTCAATGTAAACATGTTTTTCAGGATTACTTGAACAAACTCACATATGTTGACATTTTCTGCCTGTGGGGAACAGACGCCTCTCTGAATCTGTCCATGAAACCATATTAGCAGGCTTGTTACAGCTGGTTTTGTGACATGCCTCTCTCTCTGGAAACTACCACACAACTTCCAAGGGCCAAAAAAGCTTCCTGAAGCCTGTCCTTTTTATATTTCTGTTCTGCACTCGCCCACACTTCAACTTCTCTCTTTTGTAAGTGAATTTGAAAACACATTCCCGTGGTAGAGGATGAATCCAAGATAGACACATGTTGTTGGATTGTAAATGAGCAGATTTGATCTTTCCACAGGCTGCTTTCAGGTTGTGATGCATGAGGAAGTGTAATTGCTTTGTGAATTCGTTCCAGTCGGCTTCAAGTGATTTTTGCATGTCCAGAGAAATGAACATCACCACCACCCCCCTCCCCCCGCTCTCTCCCGCAGCCAAAACCTGTCAATATTAACTGCTGGCGAACATTTTAATGGATGTTACTCACACAGTCAGGAACATTTTAAAGCTACTTAACCTTAAATGTATTGAATTTCACTGTTGTCTTACAGTTGTGTGAGAGTGTTGTGGTGTTAGCATGAGACTGTCTTGTGCTAGGGTGAATCACTGTATCGATAATATTTCTGTTTTGTTACATTTGGATGAGCTGACTTGGACAAGATGCCAAACAGTGTGAGGAGATGTTGCTGAGACAGTGACGCTGTGTTTGTGGAGATTTTATTTTGGGGAAAAAATGGATTTCCTGTGCCATCAAAAGCTCTAAGCTTGACACTTGATTTAGGACAGTTACTTATTATTTATTTTCTTCTCAACGTTCCTGTGCCATGAACAAAACTCAACTGTTCTGTATTTATTGTTTTAGGACAAAGTTTAGATTGTGGTCACTATGCTGAGCACACCCAGAGAATTTCACAAGCAGAAAATCTTTGTTTTAAGTTCTGTCACATCGGCCAGTGAGATGACACCGAAGAAGCGTCTTTGATAGTATTTTAGATTTTACTGTTCCTAATTCTGTGGCGTCAGTGATGGAGTTTTAATTCTGTATCTAGGATGGTAACTGTACTTGTGACTGCATGGTCAAAGTTTTAATGTGATAGGTCAAACAATGTGGGATCATGGATGCCTTCCTTCCTGCTACGAACAAGACAAATTTTGGTTTGAAGGTGTATGCATTTAACTATTAACAGCAACCTCACATTTTTTATTCCACCTAACGTATGATTTTAGTTTAGTGCAATTTGGGCTTAACGATTCTTTTTTTTTTTTTTTCCACATTTGTTTCTTTTATTTTTTACTAAAACTAATTTTTCTGCTCAGATGTAACAACCCTTTTTTAAGGTATTGTTTCTCTAATGCAAAAAGGTGAATGTAATCTGAATAAGCCATACCACAGTGTGCTTAACATGTCTTCACTCAGTGTCCTTATGTTGCCATATCATGTCTACCTTTTGTATCTCATCACGGGGTGTGCGTCGGACTCACTTCAGCCCTGTAAGACGGCTTTGTTGCCAGTGATTATAATGAAGCACGTTGTGAATGTCCTGATGCTTTTATGTAATGTTAAAAGTATTCATTTATTCCATTAAATTATTTGAAACCATTTTTGCGTGGATGCCTTGGTAACACAGGAGTTAGTTGATTATGCTGAAGCTTGCTGTCAGACACTGAAAGAAACAGACCAAACTACAGATCATCATTAAACATCAAATTATCCAGCATGTTGTATTATTGCTTATTACTATTGCACCAGGAAAGTAGATTCATTGATTGAAGCTATTAGTTTAGGGAAATTGTTCACATTATTGCAGGTCAGAGTCCTGCAAAATTATGATGGTGTTTCACCTGTAGAGGGCACTATGGGAACAGAATAAACCTAGGGAAAGAAGTAAGAGTTAACAAAAAAGTACAATCATTACAAGATAATTTTAAGGGGATAGGAGAAGAAAAGCACAGAAAGTGTATGTTAGAGGTTAGGAGAGTGTACCAGAAGCTGGGTGGCATACTGAGTGAGGTAGGGCCTGATTTTCCTTATTTTGCCTGGTTGGAGTGATGGTTGAGGAGTCAATTTGTAGTTTGATAGTTTCTCTTTATATAAAGGCCTGTAAGTTAGCTCACTTGTTTATCATTGAATACATTTAAATAAGTCAACATGGCAAGAAAAGACTGCAGAGGAAAGAAAGGTACACATTTATGTCACCACTTATCACTGCAAGTTCTTTCCTTTGCTCATATTTTGTCTGAAGCTTTGGCAAATAAATTAGTTCAGATTCACAAACTAATTTAATGAGACTGTTTAGATCCATGTTGGTGTAACTATGATGCGTCTATGCTGCATTATTTTATTGTTGTCATCATATAAATTGGGGATTAATTGAGGAGGATCTTCAACAGGAGGAAGGATAAAACACCTGAAAATGTATGCTGAAGACCCCACTGTCTAGGTACGAGGGACAGCTAGTAGGAGATGCTAGTGCAGTGACAAGGAACAACTCCCAGAGTCTGTTTACAAGGAAACTGGAAGAAACCTCTGGAAAGATCACACAAGAGGGAAGCCCCCCTTTCTGGGCTGGATGGTGTCTGCAGGACAAACCCCATCAATATATTTACTCCCACTGTTTACAATCATTCCTCATTCTTGTGGGACTAACCTGTACCTTACGTTTTACATTGTTGTTGTTCGGTTGCAGACCTTGAGAAACCTCTCCCATAACGTCGGCCTCCTCTGCGTCTCCTCTCTGGGTTGCTCCCCTGGCTCCACATACTCCACTGTATCACTGCTCCTGTAACGCCTCCTCCATCCCGGGATGAAGAGCCTGACAAACTTTCGCCGCAACGAAAGCCTATCGGGTTCACTCCCCATGTCCTGCACCTCCCTAAAACTTAAGCCGTCCTCACTCTGCTGCCACTTTCCAAACACCCTAATCCTTTCACGAAGAACATTTACCTCCTCTTGAAGCTTCTCTATAAGCAGCTCATCGAAGCTGTGAACTTCTTCCGCCTCCTCCAGTGCGGCTCTCAGTGCATCCTCCCTTGTGTGAGCCCTGACTCTTGCCTCACTGAACTGTTTTTCCTTTTGGAGCAGTGTCTGATACTCCTGAACTTCTCTTTGAAGAGCCTTGTTGATTTTTATGGCCTCTTTTTCCTTGTCCTCCACCTGACACTTCTGTTTTGTCAGGATCGCGATCTCCTCCTCCCAAGTCCTACAGTTCATCTTGGCCTCCTTGGTGATCGTGTCCTTCTCTTTCTGTAGATCTTCTCTGTCTCGCAGGGCCTGTTTCTGCTTCTCCTCAGCTTCACACTTTTCTTTTGTGAGGATGATAATCTCCCAATCCAATTTCTTCCTCTCTGCCTCCCAGGCCTCCTTCTCTTGTAGGAGGAGTTTATTGGCGTTCTCCATATCTTGCCACGCACGCAACTTTATCTGGATTCCCTTGGATTTACAATCTTCAGGATTGGTGGCTTGGTCCTGGTAATCTATCTCATAATTATTTCTTGTTTCCGGGACACTGCTGGTGTCCTTAGTGTCCCAGCCCATCAAATCCTTTAACCTTTTCTGCAAAGCCTGATTGTTTGTGTGTTTGTTCTCCAAGCTGAGGGCTGTGCT